CTGCTGGAATGAGAAGCTATCTGCTCGGCGACAGGGTTAAAGTCTACACGTACATTCCAGACATTTCATTGCCTGCAGGCACTGTGGTACTTCCAATCGGACAGGATAAATGGGTGAAAGTGAGCCTGGAATTCCCTAACAAAAATGGCATGTAATCTGTAATTTTTCTTACATATTTTGAACCATAATAGGATGATTTGTCAAGATTTCACAAAACATTTTGTGAATCTACGTACTTGAACTTTGATCGAGTTATCAAATTTTTTTATAAAACAAATACAAAATAGATATGAAAAGGGTGTCACATCCATCTCTTTTGGCGTCCTAGGCATTATTGTTTGGTGGACATTCTTTGATTCACCTTTTACTCATAAAGTCGTAGCAAGCTAGTGCTAAGTGCGTTTAGACTTAGACTAATTGAGCGTTTCATGCAGTGCGGCTCAAACTGTCCCACTATTTGTTGACGCTACAGTTTTTTTATTAATTCACCAGTGTAAACTAATTTGGGAGAAAACCACCACCCCCCGCCCCAAAAAAAAAAAAAAAAAAAAAAAAAAAAAAAAGGGGGGGGGGGGGGGGGGGGCGGGGAAATGAAAATTAACGAGTTTCAAATCTGCCATAAACGCGCTTATTAAATATTGCGATTCTAGTTCAAAAAGTATCAAAGTAGAACATATATTAAGAGGAAATTATAGGAAATGACCGGATAACCCGATGCTATTTCCAAAGTAACCTTTGACCGTTATTTTAATTAAAAAAAAATCAAAATTAAAGCTTAAAATCCCAAAATACCCCTCGGCTCTCACAAAACCGACTCTCATTGAAACTAAAAAAGCCAATGATGGTTCCAGTCGGTCGGAGAACAACCTATTCATCGCAGGCGAACAGTCTTGTTAAGATAACCATTATTTGGTTGGATTAATGTTTAGATTTTGGTTAAAGGTGTGAATGATTTATTTGTTGGAGATTTTTTCAATATATTTTTGTTTATATTAGTAAAATAGGATTTATATAGTGTAAAAAAAGATTGGTTTTTTGAATTTGGAAGCTTTCCTCGTCGAAAATGATGATTTTCCGACAAGAAAGCATGAAGAAGGCCGGCTACACTTTTTGGCTTGAACCCGACTGTCAACAGTCGAGTTAACAATCGGGTTGACTCTTACCCGACTGTTAACAGTCGGGTAACAGTTGGTATTGGGCCGACTGTCAGCCCGAATGTCGGCCCACTTTTTTTTTTCCCAATTTTTTTTTCACATAAAATTTAATAATTTAATTTTAAATAATTTTTATTATTTGGTTTTAATAAATAATAAATTATTTAGTTTATCAAATTTAAATAAAATTGTTGCAACTAAATTTAAATAAAAATTTTACATTTAATTTTTGTTTTAATATTTATTTTTATTTTTTCATTTTTGGTAAATAATAATTTGAAATGATTGTTGGGGAATTTTTAATTGTAATTTGAAATAATTGTTGGAAATTTAATTTGAAATTTAATATTTATTTTTATTTTTATTATTAGTTTTTGATAAATAATATTATTTTCATTCATTGAATTTAAATATTTTTGAACTTGAATTGATTAAAAAAATTGTGATAATTGGGAAAAATTGACATTATTGATAATAGGATAAAAAAATTCACATTATTGATTATTTTAATTATTACGAATCTGCATTTTGCGTATTGTAGTTACAATTTCATTCGCTAAATTTTTTGTTACTACTATTATCACTTGTATAATGTTCTAACATTTTGCATTTGTACAGGATGGATTATCATCAGAGTTGAGACAGATGCCAGGCAAAGTTACGTGAAATAGTAGCTTTGATAGTTTTACAGCTGTGTTAGAGCTGCTTGATGATCAGCATGCTGATATGCTGCACCAGTCCTTCCTGTGGCCCTTGTACCCGTTGAGAGATCTGCAGTACTCGGATCAGATTATTGATGTACTTCTATGTCGATTGCTGAGTCCAATCGACAGCGATGCCCTCCACTTCGCAATCGGGGGTAAAATCGCCAGTTTTTCGATGTTCGAGTTTGCTCTGATCACGGGATTAAAGATTACGGGCGATGAAACAGCTGGTGATGGGACTCAGAGAAGAAATAAGCTTCATGACGCTTACTTCGAGGGACAGGGTACTGTGCTTCTTATACAGCTGTTGGACGCAATCAGGAGATGTGATCAGATGTTAGACAGACTGAAGTTAAGTCTGGTTTACATCCTTGAGAGCGTGGTGCGGTGTCACAATAAGAAGACTGCGATCGATCTCTTCCATTTGGAGATTGTTGACGATATCGATCATTTCAAGGACTATCCGTGGGGCCAGAGATGTTTTAAGGACACTGTACACGTCTTCGTCAGATCACACTCGAAGCCGAAGGGAGCCATGCTTAAGTATGACACTAATAGATTGCCCCTAGCGGTGCAGGTAAATGGTTAATATAATGAATGTTAAAATTAGTTTTATATTGAATTTATATATAATAATTGTATGTGTTGCAGATCTGGGCGTATGAGGCCGTCCCCATATTGGGTGCCCACTTTGTGAGGCGAGGGGAGATATGTTGCCCTCGGATGTACCATTGGAGAGCATCTCGATCGGAGGGATGTCCCACTGAACAACAGTTATCGGCAATCCTCGACGACCCTCAGGTGAATATTATGTATTTGTAATTTATATTGTGCGTGATTTAACATCTGATTGCATGATCGTTAACTAGTTCAAATATGTCAGCTTGAAGTCATAACTGAGTTGACGCCGTCGATGGAAGAGGAGGCTCAGGGTCTTGTGCGTGAATTAGGCATTTCGCACAACGAAGATGACCATATGTCTAATCCGATCCACAATCGAGATTGGGTGAGCGAATTGAATAAAATCTATTGATTACTGTTTTGTATGAGTTAGCATTTACGGATTAAGTTAATAATTTGTAATGTTGTTGCATGTGCAGGAGCGTGATCCAGTTGATTGACGATCACATCCGTCGAGGGCATCTCCTCCTCCGCCGGAGATGCCGTCGACGACATCTTCTCCTCCGCCGGAGATGCCATCGACGACATCTCCTCCGTCGTCGAGGGCATCTCCTCCGCCTCCCCGTCCAGAGACCTTTCATGTGGATCTCCCGCACGTAGTCAGGGGCACTATTTTGATGATTTGTACGCCCTTCTGAACAGATTTATAGAGGGGCTGGTCAACGGGCTGCGTCGAGAGATGATAGAGAGGGTTGATGATCTGGGACGACAGTTGGTAGGAAGGGTCGACGGTTTTTCGAATGAGATTGCAGCACTTAGGGGTGATATAACCAGTAGGCGATGGGTTGACGGAGACGGTGATTGAGGGGGTGATCGAAAAGGTGATAGGGATGGGGATGATAGAGATGGGGGTCTCCGACAGTCATACATACATGATGATGATGCATGGGAATCGTTTATTTTATTCGTGGAGCGTGATAGGACGGGAGCGGTCGGGTAGGGAGATGGTGGCAGATGAGGGAGTGGCCACGTCAGGGACGGAGATGGTGGCAGATGAGGGAGTGGCCCCGTAGGGGACGGAGATGATGGCAGATGTGGGAGTGGCTGACGGAGGCAGATGTGGGAGTGGCTGATGAGGGAGTGACCCCGTCGGAGACCATGGCAGATGAGGGGATGTAGGAGGTGGCAGTGTATAAGGCAAAAAAGCGTGTTGTTGACATGCCGGAGACGGTGGTCGGCAAGAGGCCGAGAGTGCCATCACAGTACGTCGTCTCTCCCTTCATGGCTGATGCGAAGAGGAGGAGGTTCGTCGATGGGACGTACCCCAATCTATTCCGGGAGGTCGACCATGCGAAGTGGAAAGCATTCAAGGCTGAGTGGCGAAGAATGTTACTCGGGTAAGTATTGTATGATTTAGTAGATTAGAATTACTCGTATATGCTTCATTTAACGTTTTTTCTATTTTATTTCTAGAGCCACGCACATGATAGCCGGAAGGACGATATTGGACGCATACAAGTGGTTCCATGATATCACCACTCAGGGGGCTTGGCTCGCCGATGATGTAAGTGAAGTGTTATTGTTACTTTTTGTATACGTTATGTTTAATTTGGTAAATGAAATAAGTATTTCTGTCTTTTGTTTTCCTTGATGTAGCACATTGACATGGCCATGGACTTGTTGCGCAATCAAGTTGAGAGATATCCACAATCATTCCACAAGCCTGGCTGCATTATACTAGACACCAAGTTCTTCTGTGCCGTTACCATTGAGTATCAGTCCCTCCAGCTTCTAGGTAACGAGTACGTGCTTCCCGCGTATATGCTCGAGTGGGTCATCGGACTGTCACCGAATGTTGGAAGAAAGTTATGGGAGAGTTGTACACATTTGTACATTCCAATTATCGCGAATCAGCGCTGCATTGTACTGGAGATCGTGTTCCCTGATTCGACGATATATGTGTACGACCCTGATCATTCATGTTTGACACAGGGACAACTCGAGCAGATCTTAGAGCAGGTGACTGTGATCGTTCCTATTATGGCTATACATGCGGGCTTGACTGTGGATGACAAATTAGCCATCGTGCGGGACACGATGACGACGAGACAGTCTATATCGTAAGTATTTGTAATCTTTTTTTTTAATTTAGTAATCCGTTCATATGTAATTGGAACCGAACTAGCACATATTTGTTCATTTGCAGGGGCGATTGTGAGATTTTCGCAATCAAATACATAGAATTTTTTAGTATAGCACATAATGTTGATGGAATCAACCAATCATGAATACAGAATTAGCGAAATAAGTTAGCTTGTGATTTATACGAATTTAATTGTGATCCATAAATTATTTGTAAATATTTTTTGCAATTAATATCTGTAATTATTTTTTGTGATTATTCATGTAAATGCTATTTATTTCAATGTAAATACTATTCATTTCAATATAAATACTATTCATTTCAATGAAAATACACAATGCTCTAACTGTCATTTAGGGGAACCTAACTTGTACAAAATTAGCGAATATGTCCTACTGATTTGCATCTGCTCCACCTACGCGGTCGGAAAAACTCTCCAGTAGATGATATTCTGGAAGTACTTGGACGTCCAGAACCATGTGGTTCAATGAGAGGTGGCGACAATGTATTGAACGGGCGAATATGATCGGGAACTTCCCACTCGACTTCGTTTGGAAGCGGAAATATGGTTTCAACATACGCAGCTTTCCAGTTTTCAGCAATGTAGTAAGGAGAGCACAATGTTCTTGCTGCAAATCCTCGATACATAGCCACCGCAACTGCATGCTCACATGAAAAACTCTCTAACTGAAATTGTTTACAAGTGCATGTTCCATCACTTAAATCTACCATATATGCCGTATGACGTGCACATTCCACAGAGAAGCACGACTCGTCTAGTGGTTCAACATTTAATTTTCTCGCAGCCTCAGCAGCCTTGAAGAGCTTTACCTCTTGTGCTGGGTCTAGCATGCTCGTGCAATTATGTGATTCCCTACGTCGATTGTGAAACCACTGCTGCAGCTTCGTACGGATATTCTTAATCAGTGCGAGAATGGGTAACTCTTGATCCCTCTTAAATAATACATTGAGAGACTCCGAGTTGTTTGACGTCATCATGTTGTATCGATGTTTTGGAAAATATGAGCGTGCTCAATATTCAATCCCCATTTTCGTTAGATAGTCCCATGCTGGGAATGATTTGCTTCCTATTTCAACCATGTACCTATTACACTCTTCAATATTGTAAGTTTCGACCGCTCTCCTAAACAATGAAACGATGCCTTTGTCCCGATACCTGGTCTTCAAGTTGTCTTGTATATGGTACATGCAATACCCATGATGTGCATCGGGAAAAACTTCAGCAATACCATTTATTATAGACTGTCCCTGATCGGTGACAAATGCAAAGTCCTCGACTTCTCCGATTACTTCCCTTAGCTTTGTGAAGAACCAACGCATCAATAGATCATTCACGTTATCAACTATGCCGAATGCAAAACGATAATTTTGAATGTTGGCATTTTGACATGTAGCAATAATCAACTTGCCTTGGTATTTGGATTTCAGAGTTGTACCGTCGACTAGAATTAGGGGTCGCATAGCATTTCGAAATCCTCGAATGCATTGTCCAAGAGCCATAAAGAAGAATTTGAAGCAGTTATCGACCTCCGTCTCAATAAAAAATGTCGAGCCAGAATTAATTTCTCCATGTTATGGCAATACCTAGCCAATTTAGCATAATTATCCTTTGCCGAGCCCATTAAATCCTCCAATGCGCATTCTTTGGCCTTCCAAGCCTTCTGGTAGCTCATGATTACTCCGTACTCTCGACGAACATCGTTAATGATGTCTGATGGTCTGTAGATTATCCGTGAATCCTGATACGTGTGCATTATCTATCGACCAATAAACCAAGCTCAGGCTTGCCTGTGATCATTGCGATAAACTCCCACTTCACAAGTATGTTCTCGTGTGTATTTGCGTATTATGAAGCACTCATTCGTGTCCATCTTTGGTGCTTGCAAACGCCAACTGCAACTATCATCTACGCATGATAGCGTCAACAATGACCTATTCGATTTTTTCACTCTAAACTCGAAGTTGTATTTCAGTACAATTAGGTGCACGGCTTCTTGCAAATCTTTCTTTGTTTCAAACAGTTGCTCGACATACAAATCATCATTATCAGGAACCACACGTGAGGAGTTAGAGGATGGTCCACTCGATCTAGCCCTTGAGGTGCCACCCCACTCATGTCTCTGCCGGGATAAACCAATCAAGTCCTCGTTTGTAAAAGTATTTGCATTTTCATTCTCGTTGTTACGAGCAGTGGAGGGGATTCTGTGTGCAACTATATCTGAAATAACCACATCATCTTTACGAGCTATTTCCACCGTATTCCAAAAATCATTAGCATTGTGATCCCCACCTCCCGAGTCTACTTGTTCATCTTCGACGACATCCTTCCTTACTAAAGTCACGCAAAGGGGAGTCGTGTGCTTATTGTTCAGTTCAATCAGATAATTCACTTCATCAATAGAAGAAATCATTATAGGTGGAATCGGAACTGATGCATGCTCGTTGAATTTAAATTTCAATTCCATGTTGTACCGAGAAGGATCAACATTCAACTTATTCTGTAAATCATTATAGAGTTCTGCATACAATGTACTTGATGATATGGAAATTGCGATACCACCACGTTTATCACTTGTCCATTTCCATACCCATTGATCTATTTCGTCCAATTCGAAATCACCAAAGTAACAAACTGAGACTACAACCATATCTGCATGTCGAAACAGAATTTTTAATTACAGGAAAAATATCAACAACAATAAAAATAACCCAAAAAGGGGAAAAAAGAAAACAATTGGCAAATAGCCGGTCAAACAGCCGATTCACCGGCGCTGACATAATATGCAGATGAATTTTTTCCGGTCAAATACTTAAAAATTTACAGATCTATTACATTTTTTCTACTAATCATTAAATGTAGAAATACAATTTATCAATTTAAACATACAATAATTTAACGAAAATAAGATTAAATTTGCGTATATAAACTTACCGAACCGACGAGATTGATGTCCATAAAATTTTCGACTTCCAATTTAGATAAATTTTTAAATTTCTGCAGTTGAAGCAGATGAAGGATGAGAGTGTTTTATTTATCTGTGTTGGAGTAAACAGATAAGAAATGTATGAAGTGTTTGATTTTTATTTGTTAAATGAAAAAGTATTCATGTCTTTTAAAAAAATCAACTTTTGTGATTGTATAATGTATTTAAGAGTATTTTTGTCTTTTAACATTGAATAGGCCATTTTCAAGTACCCCATATACTAAGCCCTTGTTTGAGGCACGTTATTTTCCTTAGAATACATTTTTAAATAATGTATTGATGAAAAATGTGTGATTAAAAAAAAGAATTTTTTTGAATTTACCTATAATATTATTTTATTAAAAAATGTGTGATTGAAATGATGTCAAACCACTATTTAATAATCTTTATTTATTTTTTATTTTTTATTTTTTTTTAAAGTGTCCCTCAAACATGCCTTAAATCTTTTTCTCCTCCTTGTTAATTTTTAAAATTATTTTTCCGACCACAACCCATAGAGGTGGAATCGCCGACCGACGTCATGCGATCTTTGATGGAGAAGCTGAAGCCCGATAACCATGGGTACCGTCTAGATTCTGGGATTCCGTTCCTTCTCAAATAAGCATGTACTCTCACTCTCACTCTCACTCTCACTCATTTTCTTTATCTCACTTCCACTGTCTCCGTAAGAATCCTCCCTCCCCTTTTCTTCTCTCTATATGTGCGTTGTATTATAATTTTGTGAGAGAATGGGAATTTTCTTTTTGGAGTAGTTGAAGAATTCATGAAATATGATTGCTGAAGTAATGTGGGACTTCGTGCCGTGTTTAGCTTTTTGTGCGCCATTGATTTTACTACGTGAAAGGATTACAGTACCATAAGATATTTTGTTAGTCGTAATTGTAGTCTGATTTTTGTAAATGGTTAGTTGATTGATACGCTTGTGCCCTAGAAACAATATTATTATTATTATTATTTTCGATAAATTCGTTTGTATTTGAGCATTCACATACAATCCCTTGAAGTTGATTGCAGAGTACACCTCTTGCTATCAAGCTCTAGCAATTGGATCTAGATCATAGGCGCATATATGAGTCTTCTCACCTAACTTATCCATTTAATTGGGCAGTGGGAGCTGGGTTTCCCTTATTCATTGAATCTCAGTAATATATCTCCTTCATTTTGAAAAATAAAGTAAAATAAAGCTTACAATGTGTTGAAGTATTAAATTAGAACCAAAACGTGAATGAAGCAATCTACATGATGATTAGTGGGAGATGAATGATCAGCAACAATTATTTCCCAAGTCTTATTTTCTGAGGTATTGTTTTCATCATAAACAACATTTCCATATCAAAGTACAATTTCCAACAGATATGATGTTTACATGTTGATCACCTATACAACGTGACTAAATGCTGTGCAGCAAATATAAGATCTTGGTAAAATGCATTAAAATAATGCTCCAAAATTTCTCCTCCTTGCATATGCGGCCGTAAAATTTTCCTCTCTTCTCATGATTCATCTAGTTTTCTAATCTTTCTGTCTTCTTTTACCGCACAGTTATTTTACCTTTGTCTTGTCTTTTATTGAATAGATCCCATGTGCAATCTTTATAGTTTTCTACAGAAAATTTTTGCTAATATTTCTCATCAATCTCTTTCCGATGGCTGCAGGAGTCCTGTTTGATGAGGTTGGTGATGAATGTGATAGAACAGCAATTCAGTTTACATATCAAAGACACCAGAAGGAAGCTAGGGCAGAAAAGGAACTGCAGGAAGAGTGAAGCCACGTGCATAATAACAGAAATTGTTATGGAACAGTCCAGAAGCACAACAACATATAAAGAGGGGAAAATTGAATTCAGAGGCAGGCAGAACTTGGTATTCACTAGGAGAGTGGCGGACCTCTCGAATGTCCATATCTATATCCTTGTTAGTTTCTTTCTTTTATCTGTTCTTTTGCATCCAGATCTGTTTCTTCTTATAGCAGATCCGTTATTATTGTAATTCCAGTTCATCAATGAAATGATATGCTGTGTTCCAGCTCTCAATTATTTTAAAAGTGTGTTGGATAAATCGACATTATTCCAGGTTTCTATCAGAATGCTCTACAGGGTGTAGAATCTGATTTAATAACTATTGAGAAATCTCTGCAGTACTTTGTTACATTTTCAGTATATGGAACTTCTCATCAAATTCCAAATTTTTTTCGAAAATACTGATTTTATTTTATATTCTTTTCTAAGCATGATTTAGACAGTATGGAAAATTTTCCAATACTTTCTGCTTTCCATGTGAACTTTTACATGCATTTACATATGTAAGCTTAACATTTCTATTTCTGATCACGTGCCTTATTTCCTTGCAGGCATAAACTTAACCATTTTGTATCTATGTTACTGCATTGTGTACAATCAAAATTTTCCCAAGTATCATGGTGCAGATCTCTGCGCTCCCTTAAGCATGAGGTTTGGATTCTGTAATTGATTATACTCTGGTACCGTCATTCCTTATGTCTATTGAAAGTTCAATCATAAATTAACTTGATTGTTTATCTACACCCTATATCAGTGAATCGAGTTTCATTGAAAATGTACATAGGGAAAGAAGGGATGAAAGAGGGGATGCTTGCTTTATGTTTTGCACTTAATTAACAGTGTTAATGATGGAAATCATGTTAAGTTATTCTAATTTATATGCCTTATTATGGTGGCATTAAAAAGTTCACGTTGCAAAGAAGTCTTTGGAATAGCTTTCTCACAATTGATATGGTGATTCACGAATATGATCCCTACCATCTACAAACAATTTGGATAAATCTCACTGAAATCTAAGAAATATTAACTAATCAGGAAAAATTTATTAAGAGTTTGAACCTTGATTCGTTTCTACATCAGCCCTCAATTTGAGGCCAAAACGAGTATAATAAATTTTGGGAAACACCTTAATCCAACCTAGCTAATAATGTGGTATGAAATACCAGAGTTGTGGGAAATCATTTTTATATTGAGAGTAATATAGGGATTTAAGAGCGAATCGTCTGAATTCAGCATATATTACTGTCAAATTTCAGCTTTTATTTATTCTTAATTGTCAGATAACAATTCTATTTTTTTCCTTCTCTTTTCTTTATTTTTTTGAGACAATATGATTATTTTAGAGACACCCCTTACTTTTAAAAAATTACACTAACCTCTCATATCTATTTTTGAATATTACATACACCGTGACTGCTTTTTGAATCACATATCATCTAAAATGAGGTTGATATACCTAAAATTCTCGTGTATAAAAGATGAAAATTTCTATAATTAGTTGCAATTTTATAGATTTCCTTTAGTAATAAATTAATACTTCAAGATTTTGTGCATGCACAATTCTGAATATTCAAGCTAGTGGAAATTTAAACCTAAAATATGTTGAAAAAGTTATTAAATTAATGATTTAATATTTTTGATTAATTATAATATATATATATATATATACATAATTTAATATTAACAAATGCAAACTTATGAAAAAATTAATATTTATAAACTAAAACAAGATGTTAAATATAGTCATTCTCTTGTTACAATTCAAGTAAAATTTAGCAAAAATTGGTATACTTAGTTTATTAAAACATTATACATTTTCAAAATTTATTATAGATATGTTAATCTGATATATTAATTATTTTAATATTTCAGAATAATATCACGATACTTTTTTGGTCATTTGATATTTAATTTTGTGTGTATATATATTTCATCTAAAAATATATTCAGAAATTTATAATTACTTTGAGCAAATCAACTACAACTAATATTAGAAAATTTTAACCTTTTTTTTACAAGGACATTTTAGGTACATCAACGTCATTTTAGAAGATGTATGGCTCAAAAAGTGGCCAGAGTGTATATGTGATACTCAAAACTAAAAGTAGTGGAGGTTTATTGAGTTTTTAAATGCGAGGGGCTGTCTCTAATATTCTCATAAAGTTCAGGGGGTGTCTCATTCTCATATTATCCTTCTTTTTAAAATCTCTGCAATGATGGTATAAAGGGTAAAGTTTTCAGATGTTTCTTTTGTCAAATGAAACACGGTCTATTGCTAGCATTATGCAAAACACCTTGCAATCTGCTATGACTTTTGTTCTCTCTTAATAGGAAGCATTTTGAAGGCTAGATCCAATGATGAAAAATCGGCTGACAAATTCTCACAGGTAATTTTTCAAAATATTAACTACTCTTGCTTATTGCTGCCAGAAGGCTTTCTTTCATCTCGTTCTTACCATCTATTGATTCTAGAGTTATCCAGATTTTTTGACGTGTAATGATAACTTTTGGTGAATGTACCCTCCTTTATTATTATATGTATTCTTATCATACTGAATCCACGTTTTAAACTGGATATTATATGTTCTAATTGAAATTGATACAATTATCTTCTTTTCAATTCCATGTTGATCTTTGAAATTAACATCAATTTGAATTCCATTATTTTTTTTGATAGGTAATCAGAATTTTATTAATTAAAAGAGATTACACAGGATGTGTACAATCACTTTAAGCAAGAAAGGAACGACGTGAAATTAGGCAACCCTTCTACAGGATTTTTAGCTACGACATTAAACTAACTATACAAAGTCAAATAAAACATTTTCCTAATATGCGTTGTTGTCTTTGTTTGGTCTTCGAAACAGCGGTTGTTCCTTTCTTTCCAAACACACCATGCAATGCATCCCGGGATAAGGTTCCATGCAAGTTTGCTATTCTTATCACGAAATTTTTTCCTCCATGCCTGCAATACATTCTCTATACGCCTTGACAGCACCCAAATCATAGATTGAGAAACTAGGATATTGTTCCAAAGTTAACGAACACCATCACAATGAATGAACAAGTGGTCTACCGTCTCCCCATCCCTTTTGCACATATGGCACCACTTGACTACATAAAAGCCTTTTCGTCGAAGATTATCCACCGTTGATACCTGCCTCCCACAACTGTCCACAATAAGCATGCCACCCTTGGAGGCAATTTGCTTTTCTACACCAGTTTCCAGGGGAATGAACTCTCCGTAGGTCCCGAAGGGATCTAAAATAAGTTCGAACAGAAAAAATACCATCTCGTGCCAACTTTCACCTGCTACAATCGTTCTCTCCAACTCGAATTTGTACCTTCTGTAGAGATGTCAAAAACAACGAATAATCATCCAACTCCCAATCCCGTAGGCCCTCTCAAAAGTAATATTCCAGCGGTAAATCCCATTATGAATGGCTAATACATCACTCACTATAGCAGAAGATACTAAAAAAATGTAGTGCAAAGAAGGAAATCCTAACTTCAGCGATTGATCACCACACTAACAATCATCCCAAAATTTGATATCATTACCATTCCCCACCACAAAATTCAGTTTGTACTGAAAATCACTCTATCCCCGTCGGATATACCTCTACAAACTCACCCCATAGAAACCACGACCCTCAACCGCACACTAACCCCCCTCCGTCACGCCATACTTCTTCTCTATGATTTCTCTCCAAAAGTTCTCTATCTCTCTCTACTCCAAATCGCCACAACCACATATCCAATAAGACCTTATTAAACAAAACAAGGCTTCTAACTCTAAGGCCCCCCATCCTCATAGGCGAACAAACAATACCCCAATTAACCAAATGAAGTTTTCTCTCCTCTCCTATCCCTTCCCAGAGAAATTCTCTTTGAAGTCTCTCTAATCTATTTGCCACTGCAGCCGAAACAGGGAATAACGACAAAAAGTAAGTAGGGAGATTAGAGACAGTAAATTTAATAAGTGTAAGTCGGCCTCCCTTAGAGAGGTACATACGCTTCCACCATGCTAACCTCCTCTCCACCCTTTCCACAATACAATTTCAAATATGTGTACTTTTAAACTGCGCTCCTAACGAGAGCCCTAGATATAACATAGGCAACTGCGCAACCCTACAACCCAAAATGTCAGCCAACACCTCTACGTTAGCTACCTCTCCTACTGGAATAGCTTCAGATTTCCTCAGATTGATTTTCAATCCGAACACCGCTTCAAAGCATAAGAGCAAATGACGCAAGTTCCTGATTTGTTCATCATCTACCTCGCATAAAATCAACGTATCGTCTGCAAATAGCAAATGGGACACCTGCAAGTGACCAACCATAAAGCCCTTTATCAAACCCTCTCTCGCAGCTCTTTTAAGCATTCTACTTAAAGTCTCCATCACAATAACAAATAGCAATGGACACAATAGGTCCCTTTGCTTCAATTCTCTACTACTCCGAAAATAACCCTCAGGTGTTCCATTGACCAAAACTGAGAACGAAACAGTAGAGACACAAAACTGGATCCACTTACAACATTTATCTCTAAAGCCACATCGCCTAAGCATATACAAAAGGAACCCCATGTTCACATGATCATAAGCCTTCTGAATATTGAGCTTACATAGCATTCTTGGAACCCCCAAACGCAATCTTGAGCCAATGCATTCATTCGCTATAAATACTGAGTCCAAAATTTGGCGCCCTTTTACAAAAGCATTCTGAAACTCGGACACTAATTTCCCTAGCATCTCCTTTAGTCTGTTCGCCAGGACTTTCTCAATAATCTTATACATCTCACTGACTAGGCTAATAGGGTGAAAGTCCTTAATATCAGTTGCTCCAGATTTCTTAGGGATCAGCACAATAAATGTAGTGTTTGAACTTTTCAGGAACTTGCCACATCCAAAAAAATAGGTAAGAACAGCCATAATGTTGGATCGCAACACCTCCCAACATGCCTTGTAGAATGAAAAATAAAAACCGTCCGGTCCAAGGGCCTTATCATCATTCATGCTAAACACTACCTCCTTGATTTCATCCTCCCCAAATGGTCTCTCTAACCAACCGGCATCCTCCTCTGTGATAATAGAAAAATCCAATTCCTCCAACTTCGGCCTCCATTCAAACTGCTCTCGATAGAGATTCTGCTAGAAATTCACCAGCTGACTTCCAGTTTCTTGTGGTTCCTCATAAGTAACCCCATCCACATCTAACACTGTGATAGAATTGTTGCGCTTATTAGAATTAGCAACCTTGTGAAAAAACTTAGTGTATTTATCCTCCTCTTTCAACCAAGTGACCCTAGATTTCTGGTACCAAACAATCTCTACCAACCTCTCTAGTTTTTCCCTTAGCACTCTATGTCTCACCTTTTCCTCCCCAGCCAACCCTTGATTCTCCTTCCGCCTATCCAATTCTTCTATATTTGAAAGACACTGAATTTTACGACAGTTCACATTGCCCACAATCTCCTCATTCCATCTCTTTAAATCTTCTTTCAAAGCCTTCAACTTCTGATCCAACACAAAACTAGGAGATTCCCCGACTTCATAAGATGCCCACCAAGCCGGTACTCGTTTCCCAAAACCTTCTACTTTCAACCACATCTTCTCAAACCTTAAAGGCCTTCTTCCACTACCCCTACTATTCCCAGAAAGCATAATAGGGAAATGATCAGAGTACACTATCCCCAATCTCCTTTGAGTGACATCTGAATACTTGGCCTCCCACTCTTCACAAATTAAGAACCTGTTTATGCGAGAAAGAATAGGTTAGTCCTGATTAGATGACCAGGTAAACTCTCCTCCAATCATGGGTAAATCTACCAACATATTTTCCCTAATAAAATCTGAAAAATCCTCCATAGCCCTGGTTAGTCTCCCACCACTCGACCATTCAGTAGGAAATCGAACCACATTAAAATCACCCCAATACACGTTGGGAGATTCCGCCACGCCATCATTCCAGCCAGCTCATCCCACAAGCCCCCTATCCAATTCTTCTATATCTGAAAGACATTGAATTTTACGACAGTTCACATTGCCGACAATCTCCTCACTCCATCTCTTTAAATCTTCTTTCAAAGCCTTCGACTTCTGATCCAACACAAAACTGGGAGATCCCCCGACTTCATAAGATGCCCACTAAACCCGTACTCGTTCTCAAAAACCTTCTACTTTCAACCACATATTCTCAAACCTAAAAGGCATTCTTCCACTACCCCTACTATTCCCAGAAAGCATAATAGGGAAGTGATCAGAGTACACCCTCCCCAATCTCCTTTGAATGACGTCTGAATACTTGGCCTCCCACTCTCCACAAATTAAGAATCTGTCTATATGAGAAAGAACATTTGGTTCCGATTAGATGACCAAGTAAACTCTCCTCCAATCATGGGCAAATCTACCAACATATTTTCCCTAGTAAAATCTGAAAAATCCTCCATAGCCCTGGTTAGTCTCCCACCACTCGACCTTTCAATAGGAAATCGAACCACATTAAAATCATCCCCAATACACGTTGGGAGATTCCACCACCATCATTCCAGCCATCTCATCCCATAAGCCCCCTATACAGTCATCAGAATTAGGCCCATAAACTTCTATGAACATCCAGTGAAAACCATCCCCAATATTTCTAAACGATATCGATATAGAAAATGACCCTACACACACCTCCTCCATCTCAAGCACTCTAGAGTCCCACATGACTAGGACGCCTCCTAATGTCCCCGATGACCACAAGAACTGGTACCTACATGCTGTCCCCCCTATAAGTTACTGACCACGGCCCTCGAGTTGAACTTCAACTTAGTTTCTTGTAGGCAGACGAGGTCCGCTCCCCATCCCCTTATAAGATTTCAAACACCTAGCTTTTTTCCAACTTCATTAAGTCCCCTTACATTCCAGCTAATGAGTTTTGGTATCATTTTAACATTCCATCATCTCTTCCCAGTATTCCTTTCTTTGACTCGCCACCCTTACCGTCATAGTTTACTGATCATTCAAGCTGCTTAAGTTCACGATCTCCTTTTCTTTTTAATTTACCTCCTTGTGTACTCATGCCCTGTCCCCTATTAGCCTCTAGTTCCTCGAATAATTGTAAAAGTCTATTTTCATATTCATCACAGGACACGCTAACCAACTTACTAAAATCTTGAATTTTTTGCAGAACCCAATTTGAAGGTGGCTGTCTAGTGTCAAACGCATTCACTTTCGCTATTTCCTCTCCGTGACAAAACTCCAAATGATCAAAGGACCGTTCATCCTCTTCCTCTACCTGTACGACATCTCTATCTATGTTTCCCTTCTTGGCATCATCTACCCACAACACCAAAGTTTTTTGAGTCCCCATATCACTTTCTTCTAGGGACTTAGAGTACCTTCTATTATATGTGTTCATAACCCTAGTCGTACATGTCACATCGTGTTTTTCCACAACTACCGAACCTAAACCCTCTGCTAATACATGTCTCGTCCCTTGTTCAACTGACAGTAATCTATCAGCCAGTGGAATCATGTCCATCGCACCATTTTCACCATCTCCAAATTCTCCTTACTCGCCTCCGCTTCTTTAGACAAAGGTCCCACCTCCCAGTCTACTTCGATCCCTGAGTGGATATCATCTCTCTCCAATCCCACCAAGTCGACCTCCTCATCATTTTTGGAATACTTCGCTTCCAATCCCTCATGAATCTCAGATGGGCCTGATCATTTCGTGCTTTTTCTTAGTATAGTCTGCATTCGATGATGACTCCTTACGCGTCAAGTTCACTAGTTTTCCAGCAGCTGGATACTCATCCACGTCCACTCCACATTTGCGACAACATAACATCCTGGAGCCTGTCTCAAACTCACTTCCCACTAGTCTAATTAATTCATCCAATGCCCCTTTCAATTCCTGGATGCGGGCCATTATTTCAGCTTGATTCAAACAATTGTTATGTGAGCCTTCAGCATTTGCATCCGTAATCTTGGGCACCCACTGATTAGCTTAATTTGTTGTAATTTCTGCATAAGTCAACCTCTGTCTATTTCATTCATCCACCATTATTTTATACTGAAGAATCCTTTTAAGTTCATTTCTTTGTGTCCCGATGTAATATGTTTGGACAATGAACTTTATTCCACTTAAAGCTGAAGTGCTAAGCATCTGAAAATAGGTTCAAATAGACCTATATTTTAGTTTTTTATGCGATGTTGGTTGCTGTGCCTGTGCTAATTAAGTGGACGCCTCTTGATGCATCAAAATTTTAATTGGCGACATTGAATAATAAGTAGTTCATGCACAAAAGTGTAGTAAAGCATCTATTTCAAAATGAGAGGCATGGCCACCTGGATCATATAGTTTATTGTGCGGTCTCTAACTCATATGGGATACTTGCACTGTCTCTCTTGTTATACCCTCACTTGTGTACAGAGGTAGATGGATGTATGGGGTGAAATTGAAAATGATGCTAGTAGATGATGAAGAATAATTAATTGAAAAATTACAAATGAGATATGCCCTACGACTCCCTAAACCCCGGCTTTGGTTACATGTTACAGCATTGATATTTGAGTCATTACTGTCTAAGAGCATATACTAGTCTAAATCTTGTATTTCTTTAATATTAGGAGAAGCTCTAAATGTCTTTTGTCATGGCTTGTTAAGGCATGAAAATGAAAATTAGCCATGTGCTAATAAAGCAACTTAAGAATCTTTTATCGTTACAGGCGCTCTCCATAAGAACCTTTGCCAAGAATCTTAAGAGTTGTACTTAGATCAGGTCACCTAAACATGGGGAATTTGGTATATCACGTTTCTGGGATTTCCTCAACTATAATGAGTATTATGCAGTTGTAGTTGGCAAAAAAATGGGCCACCGTATTTTTCCTTCATGAAGCTCCAGGTATTATAATCACCCTGTGACTGCTGCTAACAGAGATAATGCTGTTATGGTTTCGAGTCTTTCCAGAGACTCCGAAATGCTTTATCGTACTCTTATTACCATTTAGAAAACCCGGGCCTTGGTGATACCTACATTTCTTTTATACTTGCAGTCATGTACATTATATATGTATATACTGTAATGGAAATGTTCATGAAGGCGTAAAGTCATGATTATTTCTTTTGAAATTCATCAAGAGTTTATATTATCACGCATTTGTATGTAGCCGAATGAAAAATATGTATAGATTCTATACACATTCTCTAGGAAATAGTAGCCAATATTTGTGGGAGATTTTTCCCAAGTAGTAATTTATAAGATTCGATGCATTTTGATGTATTCTACTATACTGTGAAATATGGAATTTAAATCCTCTTTTTTTCGATGACTTCTTAAGAAGCCCGTAAAACTTTCTGTCGATTGAACTCATTAGAGAAGTTGAATAATATTTTCCTTTTTGAGTTTTGCTACTTGTAAATCGAGGTTGTACGGCTTTCCTTTTTTGAATATTTTAATGAAATATTTGATTAGAACTGCCGATTTGTGCTGCCTTTTTCCTTGTGTTATTGTTTAGATTCAAACACCTTGGTGTACAAGTAGCATTCCTTTCTTTTTATTTATTATTATTATTATTATTATTATTATTATTATTATTTACTTATTTATTTATTTATTTTTTAACATTTTAACGAACTACTTGATTAGACCTGCCGATTGCGCTGGTCTTTTTTCTTGCGTTATTGCTTAGATTCAAACGCCAAGGAAACAATCAAGTTGACGTGATGGATGACTTAATGGGTTAATGTCCAAAGTTTTCTTCCGGATCAGACAAATTATGCCTAAGGGAATGTATACGATACAAGACAGTTTGAATAAAAGTAGAGTTGGTAAGAACGACAACTGATGCTATTTTAGACTATTTAAGACAGCGGGCTACCCCTTATTGTTTTAACTTTAGATAACTGTGGTAGTTTTCTTGGAAATGCTGCGACGATTCAAAGTACAATTATCCGACTTGTACATTTTATTTGACACCAAATTTGACATTATGCCACGTGTCGTAGCATGATTAGACAATTTTTAAAAACTATATACTTTCTCGCCAAAAACATTTTGAATTTTCGAAGTATTTTAAATTTTATGTACAATATGGAATGTACAAGAACCTTTATTCTTTAAAGAATGGGTAGCCTAGGTTTGGTTTGGCTTCAGGGCTTGTTTGAGCCCCCACCCTCTTTTTTCAAAAAATGTATTTTGAAATAGTATTATGATGAACAATGTGGTTAAAAAATGAAGAAATTTTTTGAGTTTATATATAATTTTTTTATTGAAAAATATGGTTGAAATATGGTCAAATTACAATTGAAAAATTATTTTGATAACATATGGGCCTCAAAGTTAGAGATTAATTTTAATCTCACACTTTATAGAACTTACAACATTTATCTATTTTACGCATAAAAAAGATCTTGTTTTTATCTTCTTAATCCTTGTTTGATGGGAATTAAAATCAACGGGAATTAAAATCAGATTTTTAGTAGATTTTAATAGAAGTTGATGAAATGTATAGTTAAAAAGTTGTGGATCCCATGAAATGTGCAGTTAAAATTAATTGTTCATTTTAATTTAAATTAAAATCTTAATTTTAATTGCTACCAAACAAGGCTTAATATCTCAAGAGTTTTTCTTGAATTGCGAACGCAGAAATATTATGTACGTGACAATTCCTTCTCTGCGAATCAGCACTTTATCTGATAGGTCAGACTGATCATTAAAAATTTTTTTATACAGTTTTCATTTTTATGTATTCAAGAAAACAAAATGTATAAACAAAGAGGAGTGCTTCAGAATTCGGAATTAAATCCTGGACTTCAACATCTCGACCCTTGATCTTCAATCAAGTGGGGTCCGAGCGGTTCACATCATTAGGGGCCACCTGGCTCCAAACTCGGGATTTTATCCCTATTTGAGCAGCAATTTCCATAAACAAAAGGGGACACGCGTTACAAAAAATGACACCATATATTATTAATTATAAATTTTGTCCCAAGTCTGTCCAATGATAACTAGATCATTGACATTCAGACAGAAGACGAAACACGATTCTGACATCATTGAACATGTGAAGATTGGTATACTCTACTTGCTACATCTTTATTGCTGCAACTTATATTTGTTTACTCGGTCATCGCATTTGGACTCTCCTAGATTATATCGCATTTAC